AGCTTGTGGTGTTCAGCAGTATTTGTCACTTCTTCCAGACCACATGTATATGTTTCACCCTGTGTCTGTCGAAATAAATGCATTACAATCACTGAAAATATATTTCCTGCGTCACATTCCCACAAATACACACAAAGACACACTCTAAACACACGCTAATCGTGCTAATCACTCTCAGGTTTCCTGAAGACCTACTCTTAAACACGTCCATTGAAGTCAGAAGCATGATGTTGATGCACATTTTCATTGTTCACCTCTGGTCAGTGGCGGATTCAGACTGAAGAACCTGTGTAATCAATCAGCCAACCAACTACCACAGCATCAGAGCATCCTGATCCTTGTCTGTGAGCCAGGTTGTGTTACTCAGCTCTGACATCATCAGATGAATGGTGAATGGCACAATGCCCCACTTATGTCATTTGGGTGCCCTTAGTTTGGGGCACCTAGCAGTCGGGGGCCCTAAGAAACCGCTCACGTCGCTTTTGCCTTGAACCGGCCCTGTCTTTAAGTCTTCTTGTAGGTAGTCAGGCAGTGTAACCCATCCCTGGTTATCTATATAAGAGGAGAGTCAACCTAGCGTGCTCAAAGCATCAAAAGATGACCATCTAATTCAAATTAATCTGTTGCATCGCTGACAGGGTTTGGGAATATTGCAGGATTAAGGACTGGTGACTGGCTAGGCCAGAACACTGCCAAAACACTTCCTGGTCTGTTCATTGGCAAACACTCTCTTTATTGGCAAACTTCAGACAGCCTCTACATGTGCTTTCTTGAGCAGGGGGACCTTGCAGGGACTGGAGAATTTCAGTCCTTCATGACATAGTGTGTAACCAATTGGTTTTCTTGGTGACTATGGTACCAGCTGCCTTGAGATCATTGACTAGATCCTCCTGTGTAGTTCTGGGCTGATTCCTCGCCGTTCTCATGGTCATTGAAACTCCACAAGGTGAGATCTTTCATGGAACCCCAGTCTGAGCGAAATTGAAAGTTAATTTGTGTTTCTTTCATTTGCGATTAATCGCACCAACTGTTGTCACCTTCTCACCAAGCTGCTTGGCGATGGTCTTGTAGCCCATTCCAGCCTTGTGAAGTTCTACAATCTTGTCCTGGACATCCTTGGACACCTCTTTGGTCTTGGTAATGGTGGAGTGTTTGGAATCTGATTGATAGATTGCTTCTGTGGACAGGTGTCTTTTATAAAGGTACCAAGTCGAGACCCCTTTAAGAAAGTGCTGCTAATCTCAGCTCGTTACCTGTATAAAAGACACCTGGGAGCCAGAAGTCTTCACTGAGTAAAAAGCAAATCAATTTATAACTTCTTTGAAACGTGTTATTCAGGATTTTTTTGTCTCTCACTGTTCAAACGAAACTACCATTCAAATTATAGACTGATCGTGTCTATGTCATTTGGCAAACGTACAAAATCAGCATGGAATCAAATGCTTTCTTCATTCACTGTGTAGTCTAATAAAAACAGGACCGCAGTTCTGACCAAAGAACACTTTAGATCGGACCTCAGATAAATGGAACAGTCCCAGGATACGCTGGATGTTCTCTCCATTGAACCCTCTAAATGAAGTGGATTTAGTTATAGTGGACATGTCCTGTGTCTGTTTGTCTGGTAATGAAGACCGGCAGGATGCACAGAACGCCCCATCCCATCTCTCTCTGGTTCCCTCCTCCTCCTCCTCCTCCTCCTCCTCCTCCTCCTCCTCCTCCTCCTCCTCCTCCTCCCCTCCTCCTCCTCCTCCTCCTCCTCCTCCTCCTCCTCCTCCCTCCTCCTCCTCCTCCTCCTCCTCCTCCTCCTCCTCCTCCTCCTCCTCCTCCTCCTCCTCCTCCTCCTCCTCCTCCTCCTCCTCCTCCTCCTCCTCCTCCTCCTCCTCCTCCTCCTCCTCCTCCTCCTCCTCCTCCTCCTCCTCCTCCTCCTTTCTGGAACCCAGGACTCCTAAGTAACACAATTACTGCCAGTCAACGATTTACAGCTGCCCAGCCAGCAGAAAGCTGTCCACACAGGGTAGTGGGGGCCGAGGATGAGGGGGCGTAGACAGCCCCGGGGAGGGTCCCTTAATGCGCCCAAACCCTACACATGATGTTTATCTCGGAGAACAGCAGCAGCTGACTTTGCATAAGACTGTGATGCTCCTGTCTGTTGTACAGATTAACTGGTTCTATCTTAACTGTCACCTTTTGTCTTGAAGACTCATGAACCACCAATACTGACCAGCCTTAATGAAGACTCATGAACCACTAATACTGACCAGCCTTAATGAAGACTCATGAACCACCAATACTGACCAGCCTTAATGAAGACTCCTGAATCATAAATACTGACCAGCCTTAGTGAAGACTCCTCAACCACCAATACTGACCAGCCTTAGTGAAGACTCATGAACCACCAATACTGACCAGCCTTAGTGAAGACTCCTGAACCACCTATACTGACCAGCCTTACTGAAGACTCATGAACCACCAATACTGACCAGCCTTACTGAAGACTCCTCAACCACCAATACTGACCAGCCTTAATGAAGACTCCTCAACCACCAATACTGACCAGCCTTAATAAAGACTCCTCAACCACCAATACTGACCAGCCTTACTGAAGACTCATGAACCACCAATACTGACCAGCCTTACTGAAGACTCCTCAACCACCAATACTGACCAGCCTTAATGAAGACTCCTCAACCACCAATACTGACCAGCCTTAATGAAGACTCCTGAATCATAAATACTGACCAGCCTTAGTGAAGACTCCTCAACCACCAATACTGACCAGCCTTAATGAAGACTCCTCAACCACCAATACTGACCAGCCTTAGTGAAGACTCCTCAACCACCAATACTGACCAGCCTTAGTGAAGACTCATGAACCACCAATACTGACCAGCCTTAGTGAAGACTCCTGAACCACCTATACTGACCAGCCTTAGTGAAGACTCCTGAACCACCAATACTGACCAGCCTTACTGAAGACTCCTCAACCACCAATACTGACCAGCCTTAATGAAGACTCCTCAACCACCAATACTGACCAGCCTTAATGAAGACTCCTCAACCACCAATACTGACCAGCCTTAATGAAGACTCCTCAACCACCAATACTGACCAGCCTTACTGAAGACTCATGAACCACTAATACTGACCAGCCTTAATGAAGACTCATGAACCACTAATACTGACCAGCCTTAGTGAAGACTCCTCAACCACCAATACTGACCAGCCTTAGTGAAGACTCATGAACCAACAATACTGACCAGCCTTACTAAAGACTCATGAACCACTAATACTGACCAGCCTTAATGAAGACTCATGAACCACTAATACTGACCAGCCTTACTGAAGACTCATGAACCACTAATACTGACCAGCCTTACTGAAGACTCCTCAACCACCAATACTGACCAGCCTTAATGAAGACTCCTGAACCACCAATACTGACCAGCCTTAGTGAAGACTCCTCAACCACCTTAGTGTCCTTGTGTTGTTCCACCTCACCATCCCAGACTATCCTAGCCTGTTCTAGTCCCTTGTCCAGCACTCCTCTCCGCCAGTAATCCACTAGTAGCCTGGTTCCTGACATATGACAGTCCTGTTTTAGTGACACTCCAAACACCTGGTTGGGGCACTAGGTGGTGGTGGGGAGGTTGATAAGTGAAGCTCACCTCAGAAAGTGGCAACATAACTGGTAGAGTAAGAAACAGAGTGGAGAGAGCAGGTTGGTCATCATGAAAAAGGAGAGTGAGTGTGTGCCTGTGTGTACGAGTGTGTGTGCCTGTGTGTACGAGTGTGTGTCATGTGTACGAGTGGGTGTCGTGTGTACGAGTGTCTGTGCCGTGTGTATGTATGTGTTTGTGCGTGTTGGGAAAGACAATAAAGAGCAGAGGAGGTTGTGTTTGAACAAGCCCAGACGGGGGAGATAAGGCTACAGGGACAATGTGGTGCAGTCACACCTACGGTTGTGACCCATGTTACGGTACATGGCAAAGAATGTGACAATGCCAATGGACCATACCGGGCCGAAGAGACCTTATTGGTGAAAAGCCTGCATGTACCAGAGTGAACAATTAAACAATGATGTAGCAATAGGACAATTATGTGTCTTTACAGATTGTGCCCCACTCTTTATAAGACGCACCCCAATTGTATTGGATTCCAAACATTTCATACCGCTTATCTACAAATGGGTTGCCAGTTGTACCATAAGAAATAATTGGCACATGCCAAAGAACACAAAAAACAGAAAGTCTTTTTGGCTGAAATTATAGAGAAACTTCACAAATAATGCTTAAACCATCCACTAGGTAGGTGTCTGATAGACTGAAACCAGACAATCACATAAAATAATCAATAACCAGCCCCTTACCAACAAACAGACATCTGATAAAAAATCATGTTTTAGGATGATTCCACAAACTAAGCCAGACCTCATCCGAACCTCAACCGAACCTCACCAAAGCATCCCCAAACTTCACCCAAACCTGCTGAGAATGACATTCATCTGGTGATCACTGTGATCGCAGCTCTGGGTCCAGAGACGGGAGTGTGCCCTCTGTTTCACCCCAGGCCCTGCACTCAGCGGCCTCCTACAGAGGACCAGATGTACCCGGGCTTCACAGGGCCGGGGGAGCCGCCCCAACCAGAGGCCTGACCATTCACGTCAATTTAGTTGTATTTATTTCTGTGGGATAAGAGCCCCTTTGAGATTAAAGAGATCCCAGGTCCGATAGGGGGTCTGTCCCAATTAAGTTACCCCCGCGGTCACCATTAAACCGTAGGGCATCGACACGTCCCCATCACAGTAGTCAGCAGGAGGGGGGCGTACAGAGGGAAAGTGAGAGGGGGTGGATAATACACACACACACACAAGCCAAAACATTATGACTGACAGGAAACCCCAGGCATTCATTTGGACGTCAATTTTACATGTTTTTTTAATTAACTTTTATTTAACCAGGTAAGCCGATCGAGAACAATTTCACATTTGCAACGGAGACCTGGAGAGAAGCTGGGGATTGAACCCAGGACATCCGACATACAAAGCACGCACTCCACCACTGAGCTACCAACATTGTTCTAGACCAGGTACACCACTTCATTGAAATGGTATTACATGAAGCTAGTGGCCTCTTTCAGCAGGATAATGTGCCCTGACACACAGCACACACTGTTCAGGGATGAGGCACATAATGGAGAGTTTAAGGTGCTGCCCTGGACTAAAAGTTCCCCAAATCTCAATCTGATTGAGCATCTGTGGGATGTTCTGGACCAGTCCAATCCATAGAGACCCCACCGCAAATTATATGACTTCAAAGGATATTGTGCTAATATTTAGTTCCCAGACACCACAGGACACCTTCAGGGGTCTTGTAGAGTCCACGCCTTGTCGGGTCGGCGCCATTGTGGTGACACAAAGAGGACCAACAGTATTTTAGGAATAATCTTTTGCCAGCGTACACATACACAGCATCCACATCCAATGAGCTTTCGTCATGCAAGAGCACACAAATAGCACCTCAAACACAAAAAAATTCTAAGCAGACGGACAGTTGTTCACAGAAAGCGCCGCAGAAGTAGACGGCCCCAAAAGAACGCTTGACATTTGATAAAAGCCATGTTAGCTTCCTGTGCAGTGTGTCTTATTCTAGCATCCAGTTGTTTTCCCCTTAGAGGACAGTTGAGGACGGGTTATGACTGAGCCTCGGGTTATGACTCGCTCTCATTAGGGCGCTCAACTGAAAACACACTGAAGCTTTTGCAACCGCCAAATGTGCGTTTATTATTAGCCAAGTTCAGGTAGTGCCTGTACGTGTTAGTCAGTTTGCATTAAGTTAGATGCCTAATGAACATCGCCCACTTGTTCGGTGCTCCACTGACTTGGATATGGGCTCATGTGATCCTATTGGGAGACATTTGCTCGATTGCTGTTAATTACGGCCCCTCATAAAAATATCACTGATGTTCACATTACTCCCATTTCCACTAACTATTTAAGAATAATCTTTTAGAGCACACTGAATACACTGACATGGGCAAGGAGGGCCTGAAACCCAAATCAGCTGGTGGGGTCTGAACCCAAATCAGCCGGTGGGGCCCGAACCCAAATCAGCCGGTGGGGCCGAACCCAAATCAGCCGGTGGGGCCCGAACCCAAATCAGCCGGTGGGGTCTGAACCCAAATCAGCCGGTGGGGTCTGAACCCAAATCAGCCGGTGGGGCCCGAACCCAAATCAGCCGGTGGGGCCCGAACCCAAATCAGCCGGTGGGGCCCGAACCCAAATCAGCCGGTGGGGCCCGAACCCAAATCAGCCGGTGGGGCCCGAACCCAAATCAGCCGGTGGGGCCCGAACCCAAATCAACCGGTGGGGCCCGAACCCAAATCAGCCGGTGGCGTCTGAACCAAATAAGCCGGTGGGGCCTGAACCAAATCAGCCGGTGGGGCCTGAACCAAATCAGCCGGTGGGGCCCGAACCCAAATCAGCCGGTGGGGCCCGAACCCAAATCAGCCGGTGGGGCCTGAACCCAAATCAGCCGGTGGGGCCCGAACCCAAATCAGCCGGTGGGGCCCGAACCCAAATCAGCCAGTGGGGCCTGATAAAGCTGAAAATATTACAATCAAATCTGGGCATGAAAAAAAAAGAGGGCTGTGCAGACGGCTTCCTTTCTCTGGTCGGTCTTTGGTTGCGTGTAAAGAATGCTGCTGACAGACGGCGTGCGGTAAAAACCATGGACGCAGAGCAGCAACAGTTGATCAAACTGCACTTAAGTAAAACAAAGCGCTCTAAAAGGCGAAGCTGCTGGCGAGGGAGAGAGAGATAGCAAGAGAGAGAGAGCAAAAGAGCGAGAGCGAGACATCTGCCAGTGGAGGAAAGAGGAAAACGTTAAGACCTATTAATAGTAGCTGCCGAGACGCTGGTGTCAATTGCATGTGATGGTTAAGCTGTGGGGTTGCTTCCTCAAAGCCACACACACCCTTCTCTACCCCACTCCTGCTTGTCTCTCTACCTCCCTCATAGCCTCTCACTCCCCTTCTGTCCCTCTGCTCTGCTTTCACTGCCTCATTCTCACTTGTTCTAACACACTGTCTGTCTGTATGTGTGCCACACCGTCTGTCTGTATGTGTGCCACACCGTCTGTCTGTATGTGTGCCACACCGTCTGTCTGTATGTGTGCCACACCGTCTGTCTGTATGTGTGCCACACCGTCTGTCTGTATGTGTGCCACACCGTCTGTCTGTATGTGTGCCACACACCGTCTGTCTGTATGTGTGCCACACCGTCTGTCTGTATGTGTGCCACACCGTGTCCCACACCGTCTGTCTGTATGTGTGCCACACCGTCTGTCTGTATGTGTGCCACACCGTCTGTCTGTATGTGTGCCACACCGTCTGTCTGTATGTGTGCCACACCGTCTGTCTGTATGTGTGCCACACCGTCTGTCTGTATGTGTGCCACACCGTCTGTCTGTATGTGTGCCACACCGTCTGTCTGTATGTGTGCCACACCGTCTGTCTGTATGTGTGCCACACCGTCTGTCTGTATGTGTGCCACACCGTCTGTCTGTATGTGTGCCAGTCTGTCTGTATGTGTGCCACACCGTCTGTCTGTATGTGTGCCACACCGTCTGTCTGTATGTGTGCCACACCGTCTGTCTGTATGTGTGCCACACCGTCTGTCTGTATGTGTGCCACACCGTCTGTCTGTATGTGTGCCACACCGTCTGTCTCTGTATGTGTGTATGTGTGCCACACCGTCTGTCTGTATGTGTGCCACACCGTCTGTCTGTATGTGTGCCACACCGTCTGTCTGTATGTGTGCCACACCGTCTGTCTGTATGTGTGCTCTGTCTGTATGTGTGCCACACCGTCTGTCTGTATGTGTGCCACACCGTCTGTCTGTATGTGTGCCACACCGTGTGTGCCACACCGTCTGTCTGTATGTGTGCCACACCGTCTGTCTGTATGTGTGCCACACCGTCTGTCTGTATGTGTTGCCAGTCTGTCTGTATGTGTTGCCAGTCTGTCTGTATGTGTTGCCAGGTTGTCTGTATGTGTTGCCAGTCTGTCTGTATGTGTTGCCAGTCTGTCTGACTGTTTGTCGGTGCGCCGGTCTGTTAGCCGGTCTGTGAGCCGGTCTGTCTGTCAGTGGGCAGGTCTGTCTGTCAGTGGGCAAGTCTGTCTGTGGGCCAGTCCAGTATGTCCATCTGTCCGTCTGTCGGTCTGTGTGCGAGCCAGTCTGTCTGTGTCCCGGTCTGTCTGTATGTGCAAGTCTGCGTGCCAGTCTGTATGTGTGCCAGTCTGTATGTGTGCCAGTCTGTATGTGTGCCAGTCTGTATGTGTGCCAGTCTGTATGTGTGCCAGTCTGTATGTGTGCCAGTCTGTATGTCTGTCTGCTTGTGTGTGTCAGTCTGTGTGTGTGTGTGTGTGTGTGTGTGTGTGTGTGTGTGCGTTTGTTTTTGTGTACCAGTCTGCCTGTCTGTCTGTGTGCCAGTCTGCCTGTTTGTCTGTCTGTCTGTCTGTCTGTGTGTCACAGTCTGTTTGTCTGTCTGTGTGCCACACCGTATGCCTGTCTGTCTGTGTGCCAGTCTGCCTGTCTGTCTGTGTGCCAGTCTGCCTGTTCGCCACACCGTCTGTCGGTCTGTGTGTCTGTGTGCTACACCGTCTGTCTGTGTGTCTGGGTGCCAGTCTGTCTGTGTGCTCCTACATGTTTTTGCCTTCTAATTCTAGGCCTAGGATGGCACCAGCAATTTTGGTAGATGTAGATATTTTGCCCTGGTTCTGGTCAGTATTGTGGTCCGTACCAGGGTCCCCTTCATTAAAACTAGTTTATCTCTCGGTCGTTCCACTGAGCACTGATTTACTCTATCCACCATTCTTATCATTTCACCTTCCTGTTCTAAAGGTCATAGTACCTACAGAGTTCCAGACAGACCTAGAAGTGGGAGCTTTTTCTGTTTGATTTGCCTGGAGTCTTCTCCTGAAAACACGAATATTCAACCCAAATGGATCTGCTCCGACCAGACAGTTAACCATGAACAGCCTGAATGAATCCAATTTATACCTGTGGATTCATACGTAATGGATTTACAGAAACACATAAATACACACAGAATTGCGTTTGAAGTTAGGCCTAGAAATGTAGTACACTCAAAATAATGTACCCCTAACTCAATATCAAAGACTTACTCTATCACAATGCTTAACCTTAATAACTAAATGTAATAACATAAATACATTTATGCCTAAACTAAACCCTAACCATTTCTCAAATTCTAACCGTAAACTAAAACCCACACTACCCCCATTGCTTAACAACTTGTTGTGTCAACTTCCCCACAGATCAAGTACACACACACACACACACACACACTACCCCCATTGCCTTTACTTGCAGCACACACACACACACACACACACACACACACACACACACACACACACACACACACACACACACACACACACACACACACACACACACACACACACACACACACACACACACACACACACACACACACACACACACACACACACACACACACACACACACACACACACACACACACACACACACACACACACACACACACACACACACACACACACACACACACACACACACACACACACACACACACACACACACACACACACACACACACACACACACACACACACACACACACACACACACACACACACACACACACACACACACACACACACAGGTTAGTCTCCCTCCAGGTTTCTCCAGGCCTCAGGCAGCTTTCCAGCACTCTGGCCTAATTCATCCACACGTTGCCTTCCACGATTTGCTGGCACTTCTACATGTTTACTACCTGAACACTGAGGAATCTCATGAATACATACACACACACACACACACGCACACACATTAAGGTGCCTAATTTACAATAATGAACAATTAACTCTCTCGCCCACACAGAGTTTTTCACAAATGTCACTGAGCAATAACTACCAAACAACAACAAATATATATATATGAGAAACGTATAGAAGGTAAGCTTATAAATTAGAGATGTTCAATATGTTACGTTTCTATTTCTTAAAT